AAGCTGTGAAGGAACAGAACAGCAGACTTATCTACAAAAGAATGTACAGTGTTGACATGGCAAAAAATATAACTTTAATAAAGTTAAAAGATAAAGGGAAGAATGGGAGAAAATATTTGTAAGATAACAAAGTATTAATATTCCTAATAAAGATATTAAAAGTTTTATATAAAGAGCTCATAAAAATCAGTAACAAAGTCATCAAATTAATAAGGAAAATAGCAAAGGGGCTAAACAGGCAATTCACAGAATTCAGAGTAAATACTGTCAAATTATTGCAGAGGAGGAACAAAATACAAGTTTTCCCCTTTAGTTGGGCAAAAGTTAAAAAAATTGTTTATATACGATATTGGTAAGGGTGAGGGGGGAAGCAAGCACTTTAATGTTAGAGTATAAATAGGTATAACCTTTCATAAGGGCAATTTGACAAAAGTTATCAAAATTGTACACGTGTATACGTTTTTTACTTTACGATTTTACTCCTTGGTGTCTATGCTACAGAAATAACTATACAAGAAAACAACAACATATTTACAAGGACATTTATTTGCTATATTGAAGAAAACTTCAGTGTTCACCAGGGAAATTTTAAAATACATTATGATACATCTGCACAATGGAATTCTCTATTGTACATTTGAAGCATGGGCTAGATATTCTCCAAGATATATGTGAACTAACAGCAAGTCACAAAGCTATTGATATAGTTATGTTCCAATTTTTTGTTTTAAAATTTTCAAATCATATAGGGGGTGTGTGTGTGTGTGTGACGTTATGGAAGGTTACTCACCATAATGTGACTATCCCTGGAAAGTAGAGATAAAGAAGCAACTCCCTTTTTTAGCTTTATACTCTTCAATATTGTTTAAAATTTTTATAGTGACAAAAATTGTTTAAATTTTTTTGTTTTGTTCTTGAGACAGCGTCTCACTCTGTTGCCAAGGCTGGAATGCATTAGCATGAACACAGCTTACTATAACCTCAACCTCCCTGACTCAAGCAATCCTCCTGCCTCAGCCTCCTGAGTAGCTGGGACCACATGTGCATGCCACCACACCTGGATGATTTCTACCTTTTTTTTTTTTTTTTTTTTTGGTAGAGATAGGCTCTCACCATGTTGCCCGAGCTGGTCTGCAACTCCTGGGCTCAAGTGATCCTCCTGCCTCACCCTCCCAAAGTGCTGAGATTATAGGCATGAGCCACAGTGCTCAGCCTGTTTTTCAATTTTTTCATGAAAACAGTTGAAGAAAAATAAAATCCAAAGACACGCTTAACTATATTCCTGTCGTAAGTACCAACTCACTAAGTCTTAAGGATCCCTAAAATATCATAGTTACCTTAAAAATCTCAAGTTCGCTTTATGGCTGCTCTCTTGGGATAGAAATTCCTTCACTGGAATAGACATGATTTTACATTTGAGGCCATTAATTTCATTTCTGACCCTCATCCCAATTACTCCATCTTACTCATTTCCAGGCAGTTATTCCCATGGACATAAATCTGACCTTTGATGACAGTCACCGAGGATAATGCACTATACACTCATTGAGGCAATGGGCTGGCCGTGCCCAGGATTGGGAGTAACATGGAGTGAGTTAAAGAAAGCCTGCCAGACACCACACGCCACCAACCGCTATGAATGGTGTGCACACGCCTCAGCAGCCAGGGCCACCACTGCTTGGCCATTTGCACTGAGGCCCAGGAAGCTGAAGGATTTGGAAAAAGTATTAGCTACACACCAGGGCTTCACCCAGCTGGGCACTGTTAGCACAAGAAATTAGTCTTGGTTTTCCTCGAGGGCAGAGGCACTACCTTCCAGGATCACTGTCAAGTTCACACAAGAGTTTGCGTGCCAGGATTTTGTGAATGAGCTAGTGTCCTTCTGAAGAACAGAATCTTTACTTCTCACCTTAGCAGTCCATTTTCCTGACTTCGGTTCTCTCGGCCAAGCCTCAAAGGAGAGGATAGCACTCTTGGGCTTACAGAAGCTATTCATCAGCCCTTGTGGACTGTTTATTTCCTTACAAAGGGAATTTATGACAACACCTGTCTGCATACTGTCCATGGTTTGCTGGTAAATGTTTAACAACTGGCTCCCTGGGAAACAACAGCCTGATTCATAATATGGACCAATTTCCATCGTGTAGCTCTAACTCCCATGGCTGATTTCAAGCTACCAACAAAACTTTACTGATTATCAATTGGGAAGAGATATATACAGTATATAGCACCATTATATATATAGTATTTCTACCTCAAGAGCAGAGGCAATAATCAAGGACAGTAAAATGATTAGGAAATGATAACTTGTGAATATTTATGACATTTATTTTTAACATAATTTTATTTATATAATTTGTAGAGTTTATATAATTTACATAAATTTATATAATTTAACTTCTAATAATAGATTTTCAGGAATTCTCAGCTGGTTGTGAAACCTAACAATTGGCTCTTGCAAGCCAATACAAACTAGCTCCAGCACGCCTCTGAGATTGCTACACTGCAAGATACTACAGATACTATTTTTCCCGGGAAAATCAGTCATTATTTCCTTAATGAAAACCCAGTTCTCCCTGTGTTTTCAGCAGTCCATAGGTATGTTTGTGTGGCAACAGTAGGTGTCTGTATTCACAACTCCTTGGACTTGGTGTTGGGGCTGGAAAGTGTGTGGTAGATGAGAAAAGGCACAGATGTTGGAGTCAAATAGACCAGTGACTGTTCTGTGTCAACGTGTAATTTCATTAACCTTTAAGCCTTCACTTAATATTTATTACCTGTGGGATTGTTCTAAAAAGAAAAAGATAAAGCACGTAGCGAATACACTTAAAAAGTAGAGCACGTGTGAAGTATAAGGATTGACACACGTGAAACACCCAGCCCAGAACAGGAGCTTAGTACATGTTAGTGCTTCTCTTTAACATGTGCCCATAGATTCCTCCCTCAATTGGTGGGAGCTATTTGGAGAGCCCTGCAGAGCAGGGAGCATCAGGACACAGCAGGCTGAACCTGCTTCTCCTTTCCTTTTTACCAGATTTGGGAATCCAGCTGGGAAAAACATTGACTTTATCATACTGTTACCTGGGAACAGTCAGTAGTTTAACCTTCTTAATTAGTGTTGCCACTGTGGGGGAGAAGGTGAACAAAACTGACCTGGGTTTGTGGTGATAATATTCCCCTGGGTTACCAAGGCAGGATAACCAGTGCTAGTCTTTCTTGGGAAAAATCCCAGCCTCACACGGCTTTACGGCTCCAGAGCTTATCCAGGTGCAGGCCTGCACCTAAGCTCAACCAACAGGAGTTTAAAACAACATTTTTAAACAGGAAATCTATTGTAGCAACTTAAATTCTTCCCCAATTAATTGACCAAATTATATGTTTTATACATGTCAATAGATTTTTTTTTAGAACATCAAAATTTTGTTTTGAAATGCATTTGGGAAAATACGCGTGTGAAACTACCAAAAAATTTTCTAGAAAAGAAGAAACACAAATGCCCCGCTTTCTCAGGAAACAGAACATATTATCATTAACAATAAAATGCAGAGGTACCGGTTCTAACAAAAATAACTAAAGCATGTATAACAATTCACAAAATATAGAAAAAGAAGTATTCAACCAAAGGAGAAAACTGGAACGTTGTCCCCTCTACTCCGTTTAAATCAAACTCCCTTTTCAAGTCCCAACTCAGTTCCCAAAAGCTCAAATAAGCTTTTTGGGACCCACATGTCCTGAATTCTTATAGCCGTAGAACTTGTTATCTCTACTCCTAAGTTTATGCTTTCGTGATAAAAGTACTGTGCTACTGTCCTTTGCAGAGATTTAAAATGTCGTATTTTCACATCTTTGGTTTTTGAGGGCAGAGAGCATGTACCTATGTAAGCCTCATGAGACAGGCACGCAAGCCTCTACTTAAGCTTCACATGCAGCAGGCACCCAAACCTGTGAATGAATAATAAACCAACGAAGAAACAAATGAACGAAGCAATAAATGAATGATATAGATATCAGCAAAACATAGCTTCTAGGCTCCCAGTTTCCTAGCCTGGCTTCACACAAGGAAATTACATTGATTCAACTTAAAAACAAGGCTTTTACTATAAATGTAGTTTATTGGCCTGATCGACTGTGACTGACATCTCTGGAAAGTGACCTGGCTGCCCCTAACAATGCCTCCTCATTTGGGATGCATTTCAGGTTTTATCCTTTGGCTTCTATTTTTTCTCCAGTTCCTCACTCTTCTAGTGTTTCATAATGTGTGGTTATTAGAGCCCCTCATCAGATAACCTGTGTCCCTATTTCATATGCAGATTCCTAGGCCACACTTGCAGACTTTTGAATCAGATTCTTGTGGATGAGGTGAGATCTGCATCTCCTAGGTAATTCTTATGTAGTCTAAGGTTCGAGAATCCCTTATTTAGGAGGACAAGGAAAGGCCGGGCGTAGTGGCTCATGCCTGTAATCCCAGCACTTTGGGAGGCCAAGGCAGGATTCCTTGAGCCCAGGAGTTTGAGACCAGCCTGGGCAACATAGGGAGACCCTGTCTCTACAAAAATTCAAAAAATTAAGTTAGCCAGGTGCGGTGATTCACGCCTATAATCCCAGCACTTTGGAGGCTAAGGTGGGTGGGTCACCTGAGGTCAAGAGTCTGAAACCAGCCTGACCAACATGCTGAAACCCCATCTGTACTTTAAAAAGCTGAGCATGGTGGCATGTGCCTGTAATCCCAGCTACTCCGGAGGCTGAGGCAGGAGATGCGCTTCAACCCAGGAGGCGGAAGTTGCAGTGAGCCGAGATTGTGCCATTGCACCCTAGCCTGGGTGACAAGAGCAAAACTCCTTCTCAAAAAAAAAAAAATTTAACTTGGTGTGGTGGTGTGCACCTCCAGTACCAGCTACTCAGGAGGCTGAGGTGGGAGGATCGCTTGAGCCTGGGAGGTTGAGGCTGCAGTGGAGCCAAGATCACGCCACTGCCCTCCAGCTTGGGCAGCACAGCAAGACCCCATCTCAAAAAAACCAAATAAATAAAAAAAGAATGAAGGAAAATAAATGTGTTATATGCCTCCTATATACTCAGTACTTGTATTTATGATAACTCCTTTGATGTTTATAATACCACTAAATGTAGACTTTATTATACTTTCAGTAATGAGTCTTAGACACTATTGTATTGATCAGACAAATTGCCAAAGGCTCTTCAGTGAATTAGCACAAGCCTAGATTCCAAAGCAAATGCATCTGACCGCCTCCCCATGCAGAAGCCCACCCCCAACCCTCCTGCACTGCCTCAGTTCTTCCCATGACATCACACTGCCCACTCCCACCTGGAGTGTCTTCTCATTTGCATGTATTCAAGGTTCCAGGTTCCAGCTGATAACTTTCTATATCGACCCAAAGTGATCTGAGATGCTACTGCACAGTTCATTTGGCACAAGAGTTAAAACACTCAAAAAGCTCTTGGGAATTCCTTATCTACCTGTGGACATTACAGGGAGACCTTGTGCTTATATGCTTTCCTCTAACTGTAGCGCCACATAAGCCAGGGCTATGTGTCCTCCACACCTAGTTCCCACACCTGCCTGTGACATAGACAATGCGTGCACACACCCACATGCACACACAGACATACACATACGTATGATCACACCCATACCTTACCAAGCATTTTGTACAGACACATGCTACCATGGGAACGTGGGCACAAAATACATAGTTGATTCTCCTCTTTCCTTTATAGATATTTTCAAAACAGTGTTTCTGTGGTGATATCTTTTTTAGTCTTCTTGTTTCCTTGACTGCAGGTTAAGAATGCTGAAATGCCTTGGGTGCCTTTTAGTAGGTCCTTCTCCACTGGGTTTTGTGGCTGAATGACTGTATTCCTATTTCTAAGTCAAAGTCTATTGTATTCATTATATCATTCATCTCTTTGCAGTGAAGTCTCAGAATATGCTTGCAAAAAAACATCTCTCTGCCCGGGAATTTGAGATCACATTTCCCTCTTTCCTGCATCAAGCTCAAGCTGCTTTCCTGCTTTCAAGGCCTAGTCCTGCCCCATCGTTCTCTGCCCAAACCTTCCCCTGCCATCTCTGTTCCATACCCACGTGGTATGTTACCAACCTCTATGCCTTTGTTCATGCTGGTTCTAATCTGAGGTTCTACTCCAATTCCTAACTGATCCCCTAAAATGACGTTGGGGAAGTCGTTACAACCTCTAGGCCTGTTTCTTTACTCACCATAAAAAGGCTCCACAAATCATAAAGGCTACCATTTACTAAGGCTTACTTTGTACATTGCCCTAAGTAGTTTACCTATGTTTTCTCACGTCTTCTTAATATCCATTACAGGGAACATTACTGTCCCCATTTTTCAGATGAGGAAACTGAGACTGAGATGAAATAAATTGCCCAAAAGTATATAGCCAGCGAGGAACAAAGAAAGGATTAGAACCTGGCTTTGCGTAATTTCAAACCCCATCCTTTCAACTACTTGCCATGCTGTTCTTCAAAGACTTTTCCAACCCCGAAGTCTATGATTTTATGAACCTATTCAGCCTTCCTCATCCTTTCGCTCCTGTGCCATCTGCCCCTTGGAGGCTTTGGCATTTGGCCTATATGGAAAAGGGCCATTTTCCATAATGGGCCCATTTCAGAATTCCATCTGATTTAACACTTGATTGTAAACCATCAGACTTTCCCATAATTTTTCAGTGGGTGTTCTTGTCTTCCTTCCAGATGAAACCTTGAGAAAAGGGGCCAAGACTATAATAGTGGTCCTGTGCCATAGTGCAGGAAGAGAATGAACAGCGAGATCACTGGCTTTTTTTTTTTTTTTTTTTGGATGCTTGCACCATATCCTAGGTGGTTTCATGCCATCTCATTTTCTCCTTGAAATATATTCATAGTAAATATTAGCAGCTTCATTTTTAAAATGAAGAAGCTGAGGCCCAGAGAGGTTAAGTAGCTTACTCCATAATAAGTGGCTGAAGAGAACTTAATGAAGTCAGTCTGATTACAAAGCACAAATTTCCTGCTATAGAAATCTGAACAATGAAAGACAACAAACATTCTAATTTCCTTTCTCTTTTAGCCATCCCTCTAAATATCAGTACCGTTTGGGTACTCAATACCACACAATATTCTAAATCACTATATTGTTATCAATGTCCAAAGAGCTCTAAGAGTAAATAGTCAACGGAAATTGAGAACAGTAAAACTGAGCCAGTGCAGTAACATGTTTACTTATGAAAATCATTGATAATGTGGCCATTATAGATATGCCCTGAAAAGCAAGATAAGTAATGAAGTAGTAATTATAAAACATTGCAACTAATCGAAAGATTCCAGTTTTATAGTTTCTGATGGTCCCAGCATGCCTTTCCAACCTGATCTTTACCTACTTCATTTCACCCATGCTACCACCATCTCATTTCCTGCCTCCGTGCCCTTTTATTTTTCCATTTGAAATATCCTCTCCAGTATCTTTACCTCTTCAAATCTTACCTATATTCAAAATATCACTTCTTCCCTTCAGTCTTCCTTAACCTCCTCCTTTGCATCTACTAGTTAGACTCTCCACATGCTAATAAACACAGATGTTTTCCACCCCGTATTCCATTCTCCTCTCCTTCCTGTGCTCACAAATAAACCACATTTCACATTCACTTAATTGGACCATGTGGCAGATTTATGCCAACAGAATGCAAACAGAAGTGATATTCGTCATTTCTAGACTGTAGTGGTTTGAAAACATGTTCACAAATTCTTTGATGCTACTTCTTTCAAGAAGTGGAACTTGATTCCCCTTCTTTTGCATGTGGGTTGGACACAGTGATTCTCTTCTAATGAACAAATATGGTGGAGGTGGCAGTATATGACTTCTGAGGCTAGATCATAAAAGCCGTTAAGCTTCTGCTTTATGTGTTCTCTCTCTCCTCTCTCCCCTCACTCTTTCTCAGATGAGGTGACTGGCTCTGGGGGAAGCCTATGGCCATGTTGTAAGGACACTCAATCAGCCCGGTGGAGAGGTCCACATGGCAAGGAACTAAGGCCCCCTGCCAACAGCCAACAAAGAACTGAGACCTTCTGCCAATAGCCATGAGAAAGTCCTCTTGGAAGAGAATCTTCCCATCTCATTCAAGCCTTCAGATGACCACGGCATGGGCAAACTTTGATTGCAGTCTCATGAGAGACCCAGAGCCAGAACCATCCAGTTAAGCTGCTATCGAATTCCTGAGCCCATCTAAATCATGTTAATACCTGTCGTAAACAGATAACTAACAGATTAATAAGCAACTCATATACAGGCTTAGCTACAAATCATTCCATACAGTATTTTACTCAAACTGTTTTTTCCTAGTTTTGCCTTGAAGTGAATGAAGCTCTAGAAAGCCAAAAGACAGAAGGAGATAGGACCTCTGAGTCATCTGGAGGAGTGGTACCCTAGAAAACCATCCCTATCATGCTAAATCACAAATTTGGGACTTGTTTGCTATAGTAGTTAGTGCTACTAATTCTGTGTAATATACTCTCCTTTTTACTTCTCATAGCATTTATTGTTCTCTACCATATATAATTATTTGCATAAATATATTTTTTCATTTTAGTCTATTAGTTAAACAAACAAACAAACAAACTACATTGCCATGGTTTGACTGCGTCCTCCAGAAGCATGTGTTGGAAACTGAATTGCCATTGTAACAGTATTAAGAGGTGGGACCTCTCAGAGGTGAGTAGGCCATGAGGGCTCTGCCTGCATGAATGGATTAATGCTGTTATTTCAGGAGTGAGTTTCTTATAAAAGGACAAGGTAGGCCCCCTTCATACTCTCTCTGTTGCACACTCTGTTGGCCGTCTGCCCTCTGACATGGGATGACACAGCAAGAAGGCCCTTCCCACGTGCAACCCCTCCATCTTGGACTTCTCAGCTTCTAGAACTGTGAGCCAAATATATTTCATTTTTTTATAAATTACCCAGTCTTTGGTATTGTTACAGCAGCACAAACCGGACTAAAACACGAAATGAGAAATTACAAGATGCTTGGTGGTATGTGCTTTGCCAATGTATCTCAATTAATTCTTGCAATAACCCTCTACAGTAAATACTATTATTACTCTGATTTTTCAGATGTGAAATATGAGCCTGGGAGAGGTAAAGTGACTTGCTCATAGCCCAGAAGAGGCCAAGCTGACAAATCTGAGGATTCCTGAAGTCACGTCCTTAGCCACACTCTAACACACTCCCTCCCAGTGAGCCCTGCATCTCACACGGTGCCTAACAAAGTGTCTTACACACAGTTGTTGGTTAATTTGTGCCAGTGACTGCATGAATAAGTGAATGAAGAAATAGCAATATGTTAAAAGGGGAAATGTCATAAAAGTTCACAAAGAATCAAAAAATTCTGTTGCTCTCAAATATTTTTTCCTCATACAAATGGCCCTTTTTACTTGTATGTCTCTGAACTTTAGGGTGCTAGTGGCTAGAACACATAAAGAGATTCATTCACTGAATGGAAAGCATGCTTAGAGAATACTAAGAAATTCTTCATAATGTCTACTTTTAGATCAAGAGCCTCAAGTGCTTCAGGACATCAAACAAATTTAGAACTTTTCTGAAAAGCCGATTCATTAAGGAAAGCTGCTGAAATCCACAGGCACCTTTTAAGGAGAGGACAGGGACATAGCGATGGGTGCCCTTTCACTAGAAACCTGTGTCCATTCACAACCAGGCTGGGGAGACTCAGAGCGTGACAAAGCCTTAATTGTTCTTGCCAGAACAACATGGTAATGGAGTGAAAGAGTGGGTGCCCTGTGTACTGAGGAAGAAAGGCAGTAAATGAGTCCCTGGCAGCACCGCAGCAGGTCAACCTTAACAAAGATGGGGACGGCACTCTCTGCCAGAAAACCAGTCTCAGCAAACTTGCTGAGTTAAAACTATCAGATTTAAGCTAAAAACAGCGATATTTCCAAAATATGCAGCCTTTGCACCATGGGAAAGGAAGACTATCCCTACCTGGGGAGTAGGTAAGTAAGAAATAGTCTCACACTCTTTTAAGGAAAGCAATGTCCCAGGCTTCCTTTCTGATTTGCTCGGAATTGGCATTAGCCTCAAGTCATCACCCTGTCTCCACTTCAGGTTCACATTTATGTCTGTTCCAATTCTCTCCAAAGAAAGCTTCAACTTTCCTTACTGTAAACTTTTTTTTCTGAAACGAAAGATATTGTACTTCAACATTTAACTTTGGGGACTGAAGCAGAAGGAAGCAGACATTTGTTTCCCATGCTAATTTTTTTTTTTTTTTTTGACAGGGTCTTGCTCTGTTGCCTAGGCTGGAGTGCAGTGATGCAAACATAGCTCACTGTAGCCTTGACCTCCTGGGCTCAAGCAATCCTCCTGCCTCAGACTCCTGTGTAGCTGGGACCACAGGCGTGGGCCACCATGACTGGCTAATTTTTTTATTTTTATTTTTGGTAGACATAGGGTTTCACCATATTGCTCAGACAGGTCTTGAACTCCTGGGCTCGACTGCCTCGGCCTCCCTAAGTGCTGGGATTACAGGTGTGAGCCACCATGCCTGGCTAATTTTACTTTTTTAATGTTAGAGGAGTTCATCAAGGTGATGATTATGACCACTTGGATCTCTGGGGTTTTTTTTTTATATTATTGTTCCAAATAAGTTAAATATTTTTAAAAACTTTTGTAACTATAAATTTCCACCCCCACATAACAGTTATTTTTCCCATAAACAAAACCCTTACTTCTCAGAGGAAAGTCCATTCTGTGTGTGTTCCTTGGGCTAGAATATTATAGAACACCTTCACAAAACAAGAAAAGACCCCAGATTATTAGGGTTTTTTAAATTTTAGTATCGCTTAAAGTGGCATAATCATGTAGTATTATTTTAAATAAATCACTGATTTCCAACTGAGGGTGATTGTCCCCCAAACGACATTTGGCAATGTCTAGAAACATTTTTGGTTCTCACCACTGATTGGGGTGGAGGAGGGTCGTGCCTAGTGGATAGAGGCCAGAGAGCCTGCTGCTAAGTATCCTACAGTGCATAGGACAGTCCCCACAACAAAGAATTACCTGGCCCGGAATGTCAGTGGTGCCCAGATTGAGAAACCTGACATAGGTATATTGACTCTATTATAGAATATACAGAAGAAGTTCACACTAACGTTATGCTCAATAAGATGTTGGCGGGGGTGATCATTTCTTCATTGGTTGGATGACATACCAAGTGTGAGGTTGAAAATGGCCAGATTTGGGGGCACAAGTTTGTGCTCTTTCTTCCTGTACGTGCAAGGCACTTGATAAATACTGTGAAATAGAATTGAATTAATCCTTGATCCTTTTTTCCTTTCTCTAATAAATATTTGTTGAATCTCTGCTATGCTATCAGATACATAAGGTTTTGGGATTTTGTTGTCTTGTTTTCATAGCTCACTGCACACTTGAACTCCTGGGCTCAAGCAATCCTCCTGCCTTTACCTCCTGAGTAAGTGGAACTATAGGCCTGTATCACAATGCCTGGCATTGTGATATGTTTTGGCAGGGGTGGGGGGGGGATATTTTTAGTAGAGACAGGGTCTTGCTATGTTCAGCCCAGGCTGGTCTTGAACTCCTGAACCCAAGCAATCCTCCTGCCTCAGCCTCCCGAAGTGCTGGGATTACCAGTGTGAGCCATCGCAATGGCTAAACACAGCTTTTAAGAGAGCTGGTGCCTCAACCATGAGCACGCCTGTTCTTAATCAGAAAGAAAAGGGCCCAGGCCATTTCTAAATACTGCAATCAATATTTTGGTCAGGATATGTCTCTGAAGAACTAAAATGAGGATGAAACTGAAATGTTAAGGTACCTTTTATACTAAATGTGCATAAAATTAATTTCCAGTATGGCCGTTTTGTCATGCTGTTATTATAAACAAATTTCTACCCCTTTGGGAAAGCCAAGGCCTAAAAGGGCACCAATTCAGGGGACTTAGTGAAGCTAAATAAGCCAAGCAAGTTAGATTTTAGGCCTGGGACATGGGTGGGGGGGCTTCTGGTACTTTCACTTTATAATACAATGTCTAACTTGTCCCCACCCTAACCCGTTGTCTCAGGACAGGAGGTGCTCTGGGACTTCCCTTCGCATCTAAAATAGCCGGAAGGATGTGAGCGTGTGGTCCCAGGGGCTGGACTTGCCTCATCACTCGGAAAGGATTCACTGGGAAAGTTCCCAAACTAGCCCTCCCTGAGCAGTCATGAATCCACACTTAATTTGCCCCATCAAAGTAGGCCTCATGAAATTATTTTCCCTCAAACTTAAAAAACCACAGCAGGATGAATTCTCTCAGAAGTTATCATAGTTGTAGCATTATTGATCCATGAACAATTGAATTCTTTGAATTCATGCCTAAGAACACAAAAGAAGCCCCTGCACTTTTTTCACAAGTCTCTGTGGAATTTCACATTCCAATGAAAGCAAATTACACTTATTTTTTATTTAGCAACAGTACTATTTCCAACCACCAATGTAACCACTTAATAGAGTTTTGTTTATGATTTAGCAAGATTTTTTTTTCTAATAACAAAAAAATGCAGCTACAAAAGCACTAAGCTCAGAAAAATACATTTGCAAAAACATATTGCAAATGTAACTCTCTTCTGTTTTTTAGTTGCCTTTAAGGAAAGTCTTAATTGGAAGAGCAGCATTTTCACCAACTACTGTGCCAAAACCAAAGCTGGTTCAGGGCTGGCTGAACCCACTGAGCTGAGGTCAGGGCAGATGCAGCCCGTCCTCTGTGCTGGGCAGGAGTCTGTGGAGGATTCTGCGTCTGTCCATCCCGGTTGTGAGTGCTCCTAGTTGGCCCTGCCAGCCACTCCTAACAGTCTTAGCTTAGAGTCCACTTCCGGTCCTAGAGGTGCCCAAAGCCCTAGTCAGGGTCCAGACCCTACAGTCTGTCTCAAGGTTTGAGGTGCTCTGGTCTGACCCAGAAATAGCCCAGACCCTTTGGAGCCGTGGGAGTAGTTGCAGGGTCCAGGACCCATCAAACAGTCCCGATCAATCCACTAGCTACTCACATCCAAGGACTTTGACTAGAACCAGAAAAATTACAGGAATGCAGCAAACCAACTGCCTGGATGCATTCAGCCCTGGGTCAGTCACAATAGGTGTTCAGAACCCCTGGTTCTATGTAATCAATCAAAGACAGACATCTTCCACTACGAACTGAAACCTCGGCAGGCTCACTGGCCTTAAATCACGCCTGTGTCACTCTGGAGCTATGGAATGAGTTAAACCTCAGCATGCTCCTTGACATTAACTCATTCCAGTTTCTCAAATGAGAACAAAGAAAACATCAGAAGGTATCCATCAACAGTGGAATACTCTCCGCACTTGGCTAAGCATTGTATCTTCACTCCTAACTCAGAATTTCCCTTCGCTTACAGGTTTAATGCAAATCATTTGTTTGGTTAAATGATGGCACACATATTTGGTTTTTAATTTATAATGTACTGGGTTTACTGTGGGGGAGGCAGTGTCTGCAGTTCTTTATAAATAGTAATGTATCTATATGTGCATTTATGTGTATATTTATAAAGGTACATATAGTGTGTACATTTACAACAAAATGTAACACATCAAGGGTTTGCATACATTCAAATAAAACACTTTAGATTCTTTGTGACTGAATTTATTTTGTAATATTTTTAATTGCTGAATATGTGCCCATTTTAAGAAAGTAAACAAAGTTGTATAAAGAAAAAGTGAATAATTCTTGTTGTCCCCTTTCAAGTTCATCCTCCTGAGGTAACAGCAATGTTATCTAGTGTTTACCAATGTGCAGGATAAGCCTTCTGAAAGGAGTTATTTTTTTTTAAGTTTTAAAAAGAGGCCAGGCACAGTGGCTCACGCCTATAATCCCAGCACTTTGGGAGGCCGAGGCAGGCGGATCACGAGGTCAGGAGATAGAGACCATCGTGGCTAACATGGTGAAACCCCGTCTCTACTAAAAATACAAAAAATTACCCAGGCGTGGTGGCGGGTGCCTGTAGTCCCAGCTACTGGGGAGGCTGAGGCAGGAGAATGGCGTGAACCCAGGAGATCGCACCACTGCACTCCAGCCTGGGTGACAGAGCGAGACTCCATCTCAAAAAAAAATAAAAAATAAAAAATAAATTAAAAATAAAGTTTTAAAAAGAAAAGTGTCAAAGCAAACTGCATACAACACGATAAAAAAAATTATTTCAAGTAAAAAGAGAAACAAATAAAGTGGGAGACAAGATAAAAGATTCATTTCCTCAACATGGAAAAGGAGTAAATTGCACGGCTGCACTAGAATTTTTACATTAATGCAGTTGAGGAAGGAATGAAGAACTGCAAATCAGTGTAGACCTGGGAGGATGGCAGACATATTTTAGGACTTTCAGAATTGATTGGCGAGTTTTCTTTGTTATCTAGACATAGCAAGTACCTAGGAGGTCCTTTCAACAGACATTTCTTCTCAGGAATTTTTAGTCCATGCCCTTTTGAAATCAGACCAATGATCTTCTACTCATATACCCTCAGGACCCCTGAGACTGCATTCGAACGTTCTGCCAAAGTAAAAAGGAAATCTCGTCCCTCTTTCCTGGAGAAAGGAACTGGGTATCCTAAAGGGAATTCTGGAAATGGTTTGTCCACTAAAACCCAGCATCTTCCGAGAGCCTGTGTTCTCCCCTGTGATGCGTGCAGGCAACATTTCGCTCAACCTTCGAGAAGGCTTCAAAGCTGAGGGAAGCTCACAAGTGCACTGGAGAATCGATCTAGAGTGGCCAAGGAGTCCCCTGTGGGACTTAATGTGGCACAACAGAGAGAAGATTCTGCATGGAGGGCTGCACCCTAAAATCAAGAAGGGAGCAATGAGGACTAAAAAATACTCTAAACCCTGCAGGGTCACCACTGTAGCCCTCAGAATAAAGTGAAGGCTTCGGACTCCAGGGACCACCCTTCCAGCTGTAAAAATGTTGTGGACTGAGCATCTTTGTCTTCCACAGAGACCAAAACAAAGATCAAATAATCAAGAGATGTAAAGTGGGAACAGAGAACTCCCTAGCTTGTTGACCTTAACTTAGAATATGATTTGGAAGTTTTGTTGTATCACATGGTAATCAGTTTCTTGGCCTTTTAAAAACATATGTGTTAACAGTTATCTCATATCTGAACAGAGCTCTCTTAACCTCTCCCCATAGCTAATTAATGATTCTTAAAGAGGGCAGATGTCTTGACTTAAACTTGTGTTGGAAATAATACTGGGGTGTGATTAAGATGGTGTATGTCTAAGGCGGTGGTTTGATGCTCTGGTTGCACATTAGAATCACTAGGAGAGTTTTATAACACTGATACCTGGAATCCATCCTCAGACATTCTGATCTGCTTGTTGTGAGTTAGGGGGCAGGCTACCCATATCATGTTTAGAAGTCCCCCAGGTGATTTGAATATGCAGGCAACCATGAGAAACACAGGTCTAAGTGATTCAGGCTCATTGGGATCCTAATCCCTTTTTAAATAACCACCCTTTCAACAACACAAGCAATGCTTTATTACAAGCCTGGATTCCAAATCTCACTGCAGCACGGTGATGAGTCAGGCTGGACCTAATGAATGCCTTTGCATGCACCTCAAGAGCCAAAAACAACTGAAGGGCTAACTCTTCGTCTCCATCCCCAAGTCCAAACCCACGCCTCTGTTCTTCACCCTCCCACCAAGAGGAACAGTCACATCTGTCAGCAGGAAGCAGAACGAACACCAAAGAAACCAGAGACTCACTCTTGAGGCCTGGAGGAATGCTGGCCTGGGCCTCTCCCAGGTCGACAGAGAGAAGGATATGGAAAGGGGAGAGGGATGCTGATCCTCAAGGAGGCTCCTTCTTAAACTGTTTTGCTTAATCCTGGAAGAAGGAAAATGTGAAGACACAGCTGGGGCTTCCCTGAGGAACCTGAACTCTCCAGGTTCCTGAAGGAAGAAAGAATGAGGTTGAGGGCAGTGGTGAATAGAAGGGCAGCCCAAGGCTTCTCCAAAGAGGGCAACGCCTCCGACCTCTCAGTCCTCTGGCTGAATCGACAGTCAGCAGATGCCCCTGAGCAAGCAGAGGATGGAGAGAGATGGAGACCCCCAGCTCTGAGGCACACTGAAGTCGAACTCAGCATGGCTGCAGACACAAAGGAACACTGGGCAGCATACAACCTGAAGGAGATTCTGATACACACCCATACTCAAAAGACAACATTGGGACTAGAAAACAAGAATGTTCTGAAGCCAGAGGAGCAGGCCCATGAACTGGTACCAGGGTGACCCTGGGGAACGACACTGGGAAACCAAGAGATGGTACCGGCAATACACAAAGGGTCAGGAGATGTGGGCCCGGGCCTCAGAGGGGTGGGGAGCTGTAATCAGAAACACACAAAACTAGAACCCTCAAAGAGCTGCCCTTCCAAAGGGCTTAGGAAAACGACTTGCTCTGTCAGGAAAGCAACAAGGAAGCTTACCATCTGCCTGGGACACTAATTGGAAAAAAAAAATCAAGACTACAAACAAAAAGTACCTACTAAGAAATCAAAACCACAAGTTTATGGGGAGTCTGAGGTCCAGATTATGTCATTTGTATAAGAATCCCAAGCCAAAGAATAAAGGTAGAAAACCAGATTTGGAACAACTAAACTCCTAGTCCACAGAAACAAATGCAAAACCATCCCAAAGTGACATTTCCACAACTCAGGAAGCACAAACGTTTCAAATATGATAATGAACACCTGCTAGAAATGGCTCACAGCAAAAATTTATAAACCACACAAGGTAATGAACTGTAACAAGGGAAAGTCAGGAGAGACAATAAATGGGAGAAATCATACTGTCAGAACAGTAGGTAATAAATTAACCTTAAAGAGATTACATGGCTGGGTGCAGTGGCTCACATTTGTAATCCCAGTACTTTGGGAGGCCAAGACAGGAGGATCACTAGAACCCAGCAGTTTGAGACCAGCCTGGGCAACATATCAAGACCCTGTCTACAAAAATTTAAAAATTAGATGGGTGTGGTGGTGCATGCCTATAGTCCTAGCTACTTGGGAGATGGAGGTGGGAGAATCACTTCAGCCTAGGAGTTTGGGATTACAGTGAGCTATGATTGCACCACTGAACTCCAGCCATGATGACAGAGGGACACCCTGTCTCTAAGAGAGAGAGAGAAAGAGAAATATTACATATATTTTAAATGATTAAAAAGTTTCTTTTAAAGGAATAGATCCTAGGAAAGAGGACAAAATGAGCAAAGAAAAAGGCATTTTTGAAAGTGAACCAATGAGAAATAAATATTGACAATGAAATTAAGAGTTTAATGAACTGGTAACAGAAAATGCAACCTAACAGAAGAGAAAAATTCTTGATTCAGAAGATAGAGGCAAATAAATTTTCTAAACTGCAACCCAGGGAAGCTGGGAGATGTGAGAATAGAACGAAAAAGTGTGGCATACATAATGGCAATTCTAGGAAGAGAGAATGGAGAAAATGGAGAGCATCAAACAGAAGGGATGGTAACTGTGAATCTCACAGGATTACAGAAAGACATGAGTACTAAGATTCAAGAAGCATAACGAGCAGTATAAATAAAAATAAATCTACCCCTAGAAATATTGTAATGAAATAGCAAAGTGCCAAGGACAAAAAGAAAATCTTAAACCAGCCAGAAAGAAAATATGGATTACTCAAATTGAGTTACATTTAGACTTGTAAGCAAATGTTCAAAGCAGCACTACTCATAATAACCAAAAACCTGAGACAATACAAATGTCCATCAACTCTTGAATGGATAAATAAAATCTGGTATATCCATAAATAGAATACCATTCAGCATAAAAAGGAATCAGTGATAACATGTTATAACATATGAACTTCATAATTACTAAGCGAAAGACTACATATTGTATGACTCTATTTATATGACGTTTCTAGGAAAGACAAATTTCTATCCGCAGATTGCCTGGGGCTAGGAGAGGAAGCTAAGATTGACAGCAAATGGTCATGAACTTTTTGGGATGATGAAAATGCTTTAAAACTACACTGTGGTGATGGTTGCAACATGAATAGCTTTACCAAAAAAAAAACAAAAACAAACTGTACACTTATAATAGGTGAATTGTATAGCATATTAATGATAGCTCAATAAACCTGTTGAACAAATCAACAATGACAACAACAAAATGTACAGGGCCCAGATGATTGTATAAGTTGGGTTTTGACAAACCTTTAAGGTCAGATAACCCTGATCTGATACAAACTTTTCTAGGAATTAGAGCAAGGCTTCCCATCATTTAAGAAGCTAATATGAGATTCAAATCTAAGCATTCCAACTCCAAGTGTAGACTCTCCACTATACAACTGCCTCTATCTCTGTGTCTAAGGGTTTTTTTTTTTTCTTTTTTGAGATGGAGTCTCACTCTGTCACCCAGGCTGGAGTGCAGTGGCGCGATCTCGGCTCACTGGAAGCTCCGCCTCCCAGGTTCAAGCAATTCTGCTGCTTCAGCCTCTTGAGTAACTGGGACTACAGGTACACAGAACCAGGCCTGGCTAGTTTTTTGTGTTTTTAGTAGAGACAAGGTTTCACCATGTTGGCCAGGTTGATCTTGAACTCCTGACCTCAGGTGATCTGCCCACCTTGGCCTCTCAAAGTGCTGGGATTAAAAGCATGAGTCACCACTCCTGGCCTGAAGGGTTTCTTAAACAAGACAGAAAATGTACCAACCATAAAGGAAAAAATGGGTTTTGACTACATTAGAATGTAAAGTTATTGTATGACAAAAGACACCATATATAAAGTGAAAGGCCAAAGCTTAAGATATTTGCAACTCATATTTTCAACCAAGAAAATATTAGTATCCCAAAATAGAAGGAAATA